CAAACCCTGTAAAGGTGGAAAGGGAGAACTCAGACCTCTCTGTTACTGGCAAACGTTGTGCTCACACACACACACACACACACACACACACACACACACTAATTAATTTTAATAATAAAATCACTGCTAAGCGCCAGCATGGTGATGTACACCTATGATCCTTTACTGGGTGCTGGAAGCAGGAAGATCAGGAGTCTTTCTCGGCTCTATAGTTTCTGGCCAGTGTAGGCTACCTGCAGTTCTTTCAAAAAGAAAATATGTATATATAGTGGCATATATATGTATTGTGTACATTACAAATATCTATTGTTCAAAATAGATAGGTATTTATATCTATCTATATACATCTTGTCTATGTACAATACACATATCTATTGTTCAATATATTGAACATATATTGAACATCTATTGTACACACATAGATATAGATAGATAGATAGATAGATAGATAGATAGATAGATAGATAGTATACACACACATGAAACAGACCTGGCACTCTAGAGGCAGAGGCAGTTGGATCTCTGTCAGTTTAAAGCTAGCCTGGTTACATAGCAAGTTCCAAGCCAACCACTGATATACAGTGAGAGAGACCTGATGTCAAGGGGGGGGTGTGGAGCATATTGTAATGAGTTTTTATAAGTGATTTTTAAAATAAAGCACCAAAAATGCCCTGGTACACTGACAGGTAAAGCACCCTGGGGTGTAACAAGGCTTCTTCCTTCCTTCTGTGGCCTGGCTGCTGTCACAGCTTTGATGTTTATTTTAAGAACACTAGTCATTTGCATGTTTGGAGTAACTGATCCTAAGAAGAAAGAAAGAAAGAAAGAAAGAAAGAAAGAAAGAAAGAAAGAAAGAAAGAAAGAAAGAAAGTCAAAAGAATGTCCACTTTGCATTCCATCTTGTGATCCTAGATAGAAGGGGAGAATTTACAGTATTAAAGCCCCAGAGAAGGTCAGAGCCTTGCCCAAGGACACAGCTGGTCAGGAACATGCAACTCAACAATCAAGAAATCACAAACCATTTTCTAGCAATGCTGGATCCCCCCTCAAGCCCCATTAGGACCTAGGCAAGAAAAGTCAGTAATGAGCCTATTGAATCTTATTTAACCTAATGACCTCTCCCTTGGGTCACTAGAGAATAAGAAAATCCTTACTTGAGACAGCCAGACTGGATAACCAAAGCTGCTGCCAAACAGTTAGTTCTTCTGGAAAAATACGTGCCTCTGACCACAAAAATCAGGAAGCAGGGTGTCAGCCTGCACTGAGCCAGTTGCTCTGCCAGCTAAGTCCTGAAGGTTCCACTCTGGCTGGAGCTGGGGAAGATCTGAAACACCAAGTCAAACTGATCCTGAGCAGTTCCGTCAGTCAGAAGATCTCCCTGTTCTCCACCGTCTCCTGGGGAGTTTCACCGCCAAGAGTCTTCACCATCCTCCGCTCATGGCAGAATACCACCAGTAGACTCACTGAGCTATGTTTCAAGCAATGGAGCCCTTTATGAGCAGAAGCATAAAATTTCCAATTGCATAGAACTGTAAGCAGCACATCTATATACCTAATAATGCAAAAGCAAAGCGTCCAGTTGAGGAGTCAGTCAGGCGTCAAAGGGAGGCCTGCACACAGTCTTCTATGCCAAGAGATCCCTGTTTCTCAGAAACCAGTCTTCGATAAGAGCAGCGTCTGTGAGCTCAATGATTAGGAGGGAAGACTCACTAAGCAACTGATTTGCTTATCATTTTGGTCTTTTGAGGCAGGCCCCAACTCCCTAATTAACTAAAGATGACCTTGAACTCATGTTCCTCCTGTTTCTGCCACCCAAGTGCTACCACACCAGATATAACTGACTAAATAATAATGTGTATCCATGTGTTTGTTGTGTGTGAAGGTCCCCATGGAGATCAGACTCCAGAAGAGGTCGGAGCTATAGTTACAGAATGTTGAAAGCAACCCAACATGGGTGAAGGGAACCAAACTTGGGTCCTCTGAGAGAGCAGCGAGTGCTCTTAACCATTGTGCCATATTTGCAGTCTCCATACTGGATTCTAAATCTCCAAAATAAAGACTTTATTTGGCCCAACTACCTAATTTCATATAAGAAGGAACCAAGACTGGGAGAGGTGTTTAGTCTCTCTGTAAATCAATACAGCGGCTGAGATCTAAACAAAGGCCTCTGAGCCCCGGACTTGTGTCTTTTGCAATAGTCCTTCACGGCTGGAGAGAATCGTGATGACTTGACAGGTGACTTATTTTAAGGCACATGGCAAAAAAAAAAAAAAAAAAAAAACAATTCCTGAAAATCTAAAGAAGTAGTGTCTATTAGAACTTTCCAAAATGGAGATACTCTATATTCTATATTCTATATGTCGCTTAAAACAGCAGCTAAAAGCCAAATGTGGCCATTGAATGCTTGAAATATAGCTAAGGCAATTAGGCAACTAAAATTTTGATGCTATTTAATTTTTTTTCATTCAAATATAGATGATATAATTTCAAAACATTCTGTTCTGCTGTCCTACAGATTATTGAGACGTCTCCTCAAACTATATTAGATCAAATGCAGCATGTCTCCCATGACTGGAAAAAAGTACAAAATTTCTGTCGGGCCATATAATGTAAAGTTGCTCAGAAGAGATATGTTTATCGTGTCTAGTAAAGAAATGCACTTAGCTCTAAGGAACATGAATGAATTCTATTCCAGCTCCCCTACCCCATGCTGTTCTGATATAATTGAAGAGTTGGGACAGGAAGTGGGTTGGATGGAAGTGGGTTAGAAGGAATGACTGGGGAAATAATAAGATGTACCTGCATATGGGAATAACAGCAAAGCACTCTGGGAGCTACAGCCCCTTCCACTGCTGTAGGCCTGGGTAGGACTGAGTTCAGCAAACTGCTTTCCACAGATTCCTACTTATGTCTGGCCTCCTCAATCCAGCATTATTTTAGCAGCAATGGCACAAAATAAAAGCCACTCAAAATGTCTAATGGAATAGCAAGGTTGATTTCATTTTACTGTTTCGAGTCCTATTATACATTTGATGGTCACAGTTGAAATGAACAGTTGCTATTTACATATGAGGAAAGATTGTAGGTAAACATTTTGCTCCTTACCTAATTACTAAGTGCTGAAGCCAGGAATTGAACCTATGGCTACACATGCCAGGCAAGTACTCTGGTACCCAGCCACAGCTCACCTCAGGAAAGTACTTTTCTATGATGCCTGCAACACAGAAGGTACTAACCTAGTGTTCTTAGATGAATGAATGAGCCATTAGCAAATGCATTCAAACCATCTATTAATAAATATAATAACATGTTTACATAATTAACACTTAAGCCTTAAACAAAGCTGTCATTTGGTGAAAACACTGCCTGTGACTTCTCTCTGTGTAAAACTAAAATGTGTGAATTCACACCTATGAAAAATTTAACACAGCCACTGCAGGCTGTCATTCATGATGAAAAGCAGCAGCAAGGCAGTTTAAATAAAGCAGTAAATAAAAGTGTCAATGAAACAATCAATGGCCCTCTGAAATAATTTCTTACTCTTCCATTTTCCTCCTGTCAGCTGGGTTCTTTAAGGGCCGCATCCATGCTTACAGCTTCGTTTTCGTTTACATTCAGAGGCAGTGGCAGAGACACGGAGAAAGGCTTGCTGTACCCATGTACTAAACATGTCCCAGGGTGTGTGCTTCTTTATTACAGTGCTGGGGGTTGGACCAGGGCCTCACGCATGCTGGGTGAACACTCTGTCACTGAACACCGCATGCCTAAGCTGCTCTTTTGTCTCCAAGTTCTTCTACTTGCCAATCCATAGTCATCATCGTCATTCTCAGACAATCATGCATCGTGGTGTCCCGGTGCCCATTGTCTTTACACACTTCCTTTCCATAGCACATCAGACAGAAACTCTTTGTGTCTGGCTCTGAAGGCCTCCCCTGGGATCCCCTCAATGCAGAGCAGAAAGCGCCCAGATTTCCAAGGCTCGTTTTCACACTGGCTCTCCGCTGTAGGTGCCCCACACCCTGTTCTCCTGCTACCCACATCATCAGCATGCCCCTTTCCAGCCTTGCTTTCTCCACGAAACTTCTTTGACCAGACTTTTGGGGTTTTGTTTTGGAGGTGTGTTTTTTTTTGTTTGTTTTGCATTTGCCCCTCCCTTTTATTCTTTTAAGTGTTGAAGATGAGCCAGGGCTTTGTGCATGCTGAACACCTTACCACTGAGCTGTTTAATCTGTCTTACTCATCTCTGCATGCCCATGGCTCATTGCTGCTCCTCCTTCGTGTCTCTGCTCAAATGCCCACTTAGACCTCAGTCCTTCCCTTACTGCTCTATTTTAAATGACAGTACACCCTCATACCTGCACTCCTAGGTGTCTCTGGTTTATTCTTACTTTTCCCAACAGCGTTCACCATCACCTGGGATGTTCCATATTTACTGGCTCTTTTCTGTGTTGGGGGAGTGGTGGGTATGTATGTATGTATGTGGGCACTCATG